GTTCCTTCTATAATAACTAGAGTTAGATAGACTCAAAGATACAATGTCAGATCATTAAACCTCAAAAACGAGATGAGATAATAATCCTTTGTACCATTACGTACATTCAAAGTAATTATAAACTCATCACATCAAAAAATATCGAATAGCAAATCATTGGAGCATACTATGATCAGTCCATCATGTTCCTCGATATAACATAGCATTGGCGGAGATGAACGTTACTTGTAACATGTCTTCCAATATAAAGATCGGTATATTACCCCTTTTTTTTTTTTTGATACCTAATGATCCTCCTCCTATATAATTTGCTGAAATTTTCTAAATACATACCAGTCACTTCACATTGACAGAAGAGTAAAAAGATAATGGCACATGTTATTTAGAAGAAAATGCAGATAATGTCTTTGAATTTGCCGAAAAAAATTCGTTAATGGCACATTGTAATTCTCGTGATGCTATAAAATCTCTAAAATGAATACTTCTTTCTCGTGTATCTAAAAATAGCAATGATATTTTATGTGAATAACGCCCTGACTTCACCTTGTATAAGAATACATTATTTTATATCGAAAATCAGAGGTTTTCAACGATCGAACAGTCAATTATTCCAATCAAAAAGAATATCGAGATAAAAAGTAGTATAATCAACGATTCATCATCAACTAATCACGGAAGTGACGAGTAATTCTTTCGATTCTTGTTAAACACGTATTTTATATACCAATATAAGACCAAAAACGGGATATAACCTACTATAATAATACGTCTTGGACAATTAGGAGTGATTTAAGAGAGCAGATTCATTGTTAAGAAATATCACGTGAATTGTAATTATATCATTGCATTTTATGTGTCTTCAGGAAAAAAGTCGATAAAAAAATGTAATAGCGAACGTATATAAATACTTTCTTTTTTTGATTAAAAAAAAAAAAAAAACAATTTCCAACAATTCCTTTAAATAAATTTTAAATATTTTTAAGATACTTTATCACAAATAAAAAATATTTATATTTTAAGAAAGAAGAGCTTTCGAATCTAAAAGAGCTTTTCTCCATTCTTATATCTACGAGTCATTTGAAAATAAAAGAGGTGCGAGTTGCTTTCAAAAATTATTTCTCATAATCATTTGGATAATTTTTCTTAACGCAGTGTGTCTCTATTTGCGAAAAATAATCTCGAATTTTTTATTTTCAAACGGAGTTATAATTTTAGAAAAAGTAGAAAAGTATGCGACATTAAAATATAACTATCTACTTCTGAAACATTCTAGATACCTAAAGAATTTTCATATTTACATTTTTTGTCGCTATTTCCAAAATTACGAAAGAAACACGATTAACACTTTTGTTCATTCGAAAGCTTGATTCTTAGAGAGATAATATTCAAAGAGATACACGAGAAAATATTCACATTTCCTTTAATCGCTCAAGCACGATTTAAATACAAATATCTACTTTCACGATTAATCACGATTAAAAAATATTCGTGTTATTCTTATTTACACAATCGAGAACAAAGAAGATAACCGTGAACGAAAAAAATGTGAAAGCTTGCACCAACTATTGAAGAAGAATGTAAAAAGGTACGTGCAATTTCACAATGGTGAACGAGGAGGAAATCACTGAGGGCTTCACCAAGGGAATCGATATTGTGCCGGGACGTGAGAAATCCAAACGACTGGCGCCCTACTGCCGCGAAATTGAGTCCATTATCGCTCTGGCCAGGTACCCTCCAATACCATCGATATTCGTTTAACGCATCGTTTCCCTGCCAGGAAGGGTGACAAACAAGGGTCCTACCGAGAAATATAAAATTTAAGAAGCGAGGTCACCAGGCGAAAAAACGAGAAAGAGACCCGTCGAAACCGCCATGAAGAATCGTGGAATAGAGAGAGGGAAGAAGGAAATGGATGATAACCCATGGCTTTCAATTCTACCACATCTGTAAGAAACTCTTTTTCCACCTTTATTTTCTCTCTTTCTCCCTTTCTCTCTCTTTTTCTCTTTCCCTTCATCTCTCCTTTGTTAAAAAAAAAAAAAAAAAAAAAAAAAAAAAAAAACAGAGAAGTAAAGGTACTTCTATGATTAAGGGAAAAACTTTATTCATGAATTCCATCGCATCTATTATACCCGCTCGAATAAAATCTATCCGCGAACGATTCCGCGTTCTACGGGGCGAACGATTCGTTTCCAGTGAAAATATTGAAATTCCAGTAATTGCGCCAGCTTTTCCACCAGCGGACGGACTTTGAATAATCGAAGGGAGGAAAATGTTACGTATTTTCTCGGTCGTCACCATAATAAGAAGGTATCGAATAAAAGAAGCTATAATTTACGAACGAGGGGACGGTTACATATTCGACTCGAGTGGAGCATCCTCTCGGAGTGGACGGGGGACAAGAAACTGGCTCGCCGCGTAAAGAAATTAATCAAGAGTTTCTGTACAGGGGGGATAACTGTGCGCGAGAAACATTGTAGATTGGCGAGACGAGGAGCAAAGGCGAATAAACATCGGGTGCGGCCAAGTTCTCGCACCTTTCATCGTGAATAACCGAGAGTGGCCGGCTACGCCTCGAATCCTTCAAGAGTTCGCGTGTTTTCTCGTAAGTTTACGCACCATTGGCCGCCAATCTTTAGAATGAAACTGCCGCATCTGAGTGGATTCTCAACGCGACTTGTTTCGAGAACAAGACGGGAAGAAAAAAATGTTTCGTGAAAAAAAAGAAGAAGAAGAAGAAGAAGAAGAAGAAGAAGAAGAAGAAAGAAAGAAAGAGGAAAAAATAGAAGCTTCTCGAAGGGGAGAGGAACGAGAGAAAGACCTCCAAGAGGATGAAATACCCGTATATAACAGTCACGATCCGAGGGCGACGAATAATCACATTTAACATGTCCAACGATACGCGAACAATACACCGACCGTCCTTCATACGGATATATTACACATTGTATTCCATTGGCAACGGCCATGCTATAAACGGCGATATTACCGCATAGCAAGCAACCTGAAACCTTACAATGCAACTTAGAAACGTGGTATCAAGTATGTCATGGAATTGTAAAGTCACGTTATCGCCCAATCTAACTTTGCTCGGATACACTCGTGTGGTTTGTTACACGCGTACATATTGGTGATGAGTACACTAGTGTGATTGCGAATTTTGTATTAAATCGTTAACTAAATTCTATGCGTTCTATGGAATATTTAGTTTGATTTCGTTCTAATTTCCGTTTAATTTAAACGATTCCTATCAATTTTGATTAACTTTTTCTTATTATTTTAGCAAAATTTAATTGGATTTTAATTCGAAGAATATAATAGTTGTCGATTTGAATTTTCGTATATTACTTTTTCAGATACTGTATTGGATATTAAGATAAATAATAATTGATTGAAAATCCTAACTAATAAATTAAAAGAGATTTAAAGATTCAAGATTATTATATTTATACATGGAATGAAAGAATGTAAAAAAGACAATAGTAACAATAATTTTTTTCCCCCACTTAAAACCACCTTATAAACTTCAAACAGTTATCAGAAGCTATTCTATACCACAATACATCATCGATATAAATATTGACGATATGACCAAAATAATAAAATATAACTGCTACAATACAATCAGTGCTCGAGATTGAACGCAATTGATATTCAAATAAAAACCACATACCACGCAATCTTTCATCCGAATAGAAGAAACGTATTCCGTACGTGTGAGAAAAAAAGATCATTCTACTGATGACTTTTCTTCCCCTTTCAACGAGATCTCACGAGAGAGGTCTCAAAGAGCAGAAAAGAAGACAGTATCACGAAGAAGATAACCGCGAAACTTACAGTTCCTTCCCAATATAAAGAATTGACGTCGAACAAAACTAGGACAAACTTTAGATGAGGGGGAATATCGACATCATGGACGAGAGGGGACAATATTATTCTCTCGTGAAAGATTATGGAAGGTATTCGCCAAGAAGGTATTCCAACGCGACAAGAATGACAATTGAAGGTCCTCGAATGATTTCATGGAACAATTTTGTCGAAATGGTTTTTGCGAATCGTCATCAACTTTATGATTCCCCGCCAACAGATTTACGCGGACGTAAATAGCGTAATAGGTCATTTGGGAAAAGTGATAAATTTCATATTCTAGTGCTTCATTTCTGCAGATTCACTAGCCAGACCGTCTCATTTTCGAATAACCCTGTAATTTAATGGACAATCTCCTAGACGTCTCTTTATGCACTTTTTAGGACACGAAGCTAATCATATTTTCATAGAGTGATTCTCATTATTACGCTTTCTTGCTGCTTTCTAATATCTCCTTTTTTTTTTGTCTTTTCTCGATTTTCAGCGTGATATGATGATACGACGATAAATATTTATAATTGATATACTGTCGTTTCATTCTAAACTTTAATGTGATACGATATAACCTGATAATGATATCATTGTTAATGTAATGGAATTTTAAGTTTCTTCGAATGGAACATCGTACTCCCTGTATTCATGGACACGAATATGCTACTAGAATTAATTAATATTTGAATTTCAAAGAAACGATATTCGATATTAATGTATATTCGAATAATGGTTTATGATACATCCATCGAATTAGAATCATATTAAATTCTCAATATTTTTCCATTTGTTTAATGAAATTGATAGGACATCGAATAAATTAAATAAATTTCTTTAATTAATATATTATACTTTGATTATTTTTTAATATCAAAAACTTTTAATACATATAATAAAATATTAGCCAACAAAATAAGAATTAATGAGTTAATGAAAGTAAAAATAAAATATATATTTTTCTTTTGTTTGTATTCTTTTAATAATTTAATCACAACATGGTATATAAAATTTTATGATTCTAATTCGATAGATGAAAAAAATATTTGAATAAAGAAATCCCTCTGTTTTATATTCCATTAGTTTTATACGGTAATCTACTTTCTTGCAAGATCAATTACGCGCAAAATAAGTTTTCCACTTACCTTTAATCGGAAGTCACTGACAGTCCATACTCGGCTGGCGTAGTCATTCGATGCTCCAAGGATCAATGTTCCTGTAGAATCGAAATCGACGCACATCACTCCAGCATTGCTACCAACGAGAATACCTTTGCTCTCTGAAGCACCTGAAACAAAATAAATTTAAATTTGTTAATAAAAAAACAATCGATTTATCTTATTACTTATTCACATTAATTTATCTTTATCTATATCATTTATATTCCTTTCTCTATTATTCTTAAAATAATCTCCATTTTGCAATTAATTTCTTTAAACTATATCTTAAAATCAACTAAATTACGTGTTTATATTAATTTAGATTATAAAAAATATGACAATCGTTTAAAAAAGAGATAGTTAAGATCACGAAACAATTAAAATTAAAACAATTAAAAATGAAATAAAAAGAATTGACGTTTAAAAATGTCAAGAGAGATTGAATACCAGAGAAAATCCACGAATGAGACGAGTTAAGCGGATATAATCTGAATAATAAAGATAGATGTTTCATCCAATTTGCAACATAGCGCGGAGATTACATTCAAGCACCATAAAGCATGTGTGGGTCATTCGAATATAGCAAGGAAAACGTAGCAGACAGAACTTTAATAAACTTCTCGGTGTTAGTCGGCTGTACATTGCAAGAAACCTGTTGATTCGTTAACATACTTCATTCACCAGAAAGAAAAGAGGTCTTCAAGAGCACATCGCGATATATTTTATCTGACGCATCATTTTTCTATTCCTATTCATCTTCCTATTCTTCTGGCGTTCTAGGTATCGAATGATCTTAATATATCTTGTTTCATAGAAGATAAAAAAGCATAAAGTATCGATAAACTTGGTAATAAAATTTGATAAAATTCTCTATAAAATAAATTTCAATTCCTTAATGAAATTGCTTATCGTAATAGCTCATAGCAGACTATTCGATGTATCCCTTCAATTCTCTTTTCACGATCTTCACGAAAAGGAAGTCTTTGAAGCACGTATTCATGAACAAAAGATGGTAACAAAGTTTTAATTGCTCCATTATAGCAAGTTTTAATGAAATTTTAAAGTAACTGTGTATCGCTTGATTGGCCTACGTAGTCTCGTTCAATTAAGAAAATTTTGTATTTGATATTGGATTAACTTTAAGTACTGTACAATAGGTCACGCGTCATACAATCAATTATTTAAATTTTAAATTTCACATTAGCACTTCAATGCGATAAAATATTTCTGCTATTTAACATTATACGTTTAATCCTTGAACCCTTATGACATTGAACGTATAAACTCCTGTGAGACTCGTGTAACTGAAACGAGAGTGGTGTAATAATTTACGCGATCTATTGGAGCTCGTTACAAATTTGAATAATGGCAAGATCGGTAAATAGATTATACACATGGGGACCTCGATGCTCGCGCGTAATATTTCCGTACCAGAAACCGTTCGAGGAATCGTTTATTTTGATTAATCACTCGTATATGTATCACACGAGATTCGCGACGAATATTTAAATCGTAGGCGAAAACGTTTTCGATAATAATACGATTTTGTTTCGTTTAATCACCTTTTGAGATATTCCAAAGCTTCACCTTCCTGTCAGCACCACCGGTGGCAAGCATCCTCTCGACGGGAGACCATTTTACGGCATAAACTTCTCCGTCGTGTGCAGTCTGCAAGGGTTATTAAACACTTGACGTATAAATTTTGAAAAGTTTATGGGCATGCATGAGGCAGTAATTAATATAACAAGAGTATCGAAGTAAAATTATATTGTTCGTTCGAATTATAACGAAGTGATCGAATACAGAATAGTTTGATGGAAATCTCTTGAAGTTTTTTTATATTAAAAATTTTAAAATAAAAAAAAAATTTTTTTAAATTTACATATTAAATTTTGTGAAGACACAAGAAAATAATCGATTACTAAACATAAAATATAATTCGAAAATGCTGAAAAATTAAAAAAAATATTTCAAAATTAAAAGAATTGTGATATAATAATCTGATATAATATTGTGATATAACGTTGATTTTAATTAAAAAAAAATTAGTATCTGTACTATATGCTACTCTTTTTAAAAGCTTCAAAAATTAAAATTAATAAAAATTATATAAAAAATTAATATAAAATATATGAAATAAATAGAATCGTAATATCGTAATAAATAATGAATAAAAAGATGTTGTAATATGAAAAATGATATTATCATACTGATATTATATAATACTTTGAATATTGAAATGAATTTATATATACTTTGCAATTTTCATGCATAAAACGCGCATTCTATGTTGTGCATGATCATGATAATATATTCGATGTAAAATGGTTTAATGCTGTAAATATATTGCTAAATACAGGACATTAAATTTCGATGCTATGTGCAATAGATAAATTATACTAAGCTAAAACTAAATGCGAAATGGTTTAAAAATTCATATGATTTTTATTAGAATAAATTTATATTAATATACTATCACTTGCGTTATACACTACAAGGCCTCATTTAAAATCGTAATATAAATGGTATTAAATTAGAGCATATAGGTACATGGTATGTCTATACAAAATATTTTTAATATCCATATAATTATCCCGTTTTAAACAATATAATAATATTTAAATAATATTTTCCACCATTTAATATATTATCTAATCTATTGACATATTTGTAAACACAGAAGAATATACTTAACTTAAATAACGTGATATTGTATTACTATATTTAACTTGATATACTATAAATAATACGTTTTTCTTACATATGTATATACTCAATTAGAATATAATAAAGAATAGACTTTACGTGATCGTAAATATCGCTACTATAGTAAATAATAGTACAATAACATTAATATTCTAGTAACATAACATGCATAAGTGAGAAATACAAGAACTATAAATAGTAATAATATAGTATTCAACGATTATATATATTATGTATATATATTCCCATTAAACAATTTATTATTATAAACACAACGAACTAACTTAAACCAAACGATGTTACCTGATACCTAGTTAGTTTAACGAATTAATATATTCTTTCTATAAAATTACACTATGTATAGAGAAAACTTACACTTATTTGTGTAAAAAATTTATATAAATACATACTATATCATTCCTACACTTGAAAAATAAACTCTTTTACAGTTAATTTGACACTTCATCTTGAAAATATTAATGTCTGTACTTATAAAAAGTATTAAAAATAGTATATTTATTCTTCGTTAATCTCTAGATACATAATATGTGGAGAAATTGATACTGTATAAGATATGTGAATATATTACATTAAACGAAAACGAATGTTGTATATGCATATTGACATATCCATATGTCAATATTCCATTAATAAAATTTATAATATTAATTTAGCTATCGTTAAAATAAAAAAATAACCTTCTTAAATGAATTTTAAATCTTCCAAAAAAATAAATTTAACACATTTGTAATACAAATAACTTTTTTTTAATAAAATATATATATATTTCGTTATATCTTTTAAAAGTAATTTTGTAAATATTCAATTTATAACTAGCACATATTAAAATAACTTTTGACATATCACATAGATCTAATTCTATTTGATATTTGAAGATCGTTAAAAATCGGATATTTTTAATCATTGCATGAAATTAATAATATTAATGCTGAAGTGAAAAATAAAATGTTTGTGTAATTGTTCGTGATACAAATTTCCAAATATCAAGCGTCGAGATTGCATTCAACAATTTCTTATTTCGTCATACAAAACATGCATTTTCGTGTTACAACGAATTAATAAACATTTTGTACTAAAATTTCCACAGTAATATAGCGTAATATAAATTATTTTATAAATTAAAGTTTTGTCAACGTACAAACGTGACGGATACTTTCGTCGGTACCGCAGTAGGAAGACCAGCGATTCCTTCTTTTAAACTCGATCTATCAGGACTAACTGGTCGTGTGTCACGTGCAGCATCTTCTAATTCTTTTTGAACCTTTGCTTGCCTTTTTCTGAAAAATATCACATAAACATATCCACAATTTGATAAAAATCAAATAATCATCAGAGAGAACAATATGCTGTATATAAATACCCAAAAGTATCGGAATGCCCTTTCTCTTTGATCATCACATTGTTATGTTTCATGCACAAAACAAAACAATTAGTAATATCAGTGTTTCGATGATGTTATTCTTTTGTATTAGTTATTATTCTAAACATTTATTATATCTTATCTGTTCACATTAGTTCAATTATATTTATAATCATTATGTTTACTTATTTGTTCCGTAAAGTAAACATTTTTAAGCAATTATTATTTAATTTTTTTTTTTATTATTTTTAAATTCACTCATTTATTTTACTTTCTTATATTAATTCGTTATATGATAATACATTATTTTTAATATTCATGGACACAAAAGCACAAACAAAATGAAGGATATGATCATATGGTACGATCAGCTTCCTTTAATAAATGACCCAAAGCTGTAGTTGAGCAGTAAGCATAATTTCTGTCACGTCACTTGCACAAACTTACCCAAATTTTGATATGGTATGCATCAAAAAGGCTGTCGGACTGGAAAAACTCTCACTGAAAATAAAATGTCAAGCATTGTGAAGTGCTAATGTAAAGTGCTACGATGATGACATCTTGTTCTGCGAAAAGCTCAATATTTTGCATATAATTTCAATAAATGAAAATGATTTGTAAATCTTTATACTTAACTTAAATATTATTTTCAATAACTTCCCGTAATTTTAAAAAATCTTGAATTATCATTTATTATGATAAATGAAAAAACACAGAACACTATATTGGAAAGAATTATATCAATAAAATATAAAATAATTTACATTTCGGCATATTATATATATTTTAAATATTAAACGATTAATTTTATGATAAATAATTTTTTCAATTGCATAAATATAATTTGATAAGATTTTTGTTTTTAAAATGAAGAAATTTAATAATCGCGAATTATAAAAATTGCGACATATTAAATTTTAAAAATAAAATCTTAAATATTAAGAAAAATTATATATAATATATTTTGTTTTTTTTTTAATCTTTTTTTTAAATCCTTCACGATAATATGAATTTTGTATTTATAATTTTGTATAATTTTAATTTCATTAAAAAAAATTCTCTTACATCTAATAAATAACATTATAGGATGTAAAAAAATAAAATTTTTAGTAAAAGTAAATGTATATGCACTCTTGAAAAGTGATAAAAAATAATAATATATTAAAAAGATATGTGCATGATAATGGAATATGAATTATCAAATTGTTATATATTATTCAATAACAAAATATTCTTAAATTAGTATACAATATCATCATGCGAAACGAAATTAATATCTAAAATTTCGTGCATGTAGCATTTGTAAAATATAAGCTATCAAGCATAATTATTAAAAAAAAAAAAAAATTTAATATCTATTTAAATTATTATTATTATTATTATTATTATTATTATTATTTTCAGTAAATCACAATGTATTATATGTGTAAATTTAATATAATTAATTTGTTATCAATATCAATTAATAAACATATATTATAACTAAATCTTAAATTTATTATTATTATTATGTTAATTATATTAACTATAATAAAAATAAATTTATTTATACACATAAATAAAAATAAAATACAAAAGAATTATTTTCATATTTTTATCGATATATTAATTGTAAAAATGTAAAAATTATGCAAAAATTAATATTAAATTGCAAATAATTAAAACTAATTGCTACAAAAGCTTTGAAATTATTATTTTATATAATTTATAATTGTGAAAGTTTTTGCCGACAGATGGTATAGAAGCATAACTAATGATCTGACCGATCACTAGATATATATTATCATAGATATATATTACAACTGTTATTAAAAAATATGAGAATAAATCTTAAGACACGACAAAATAAATGTAACAAAAATGATTCTTGATGCAAATTCATTAATTTATATCTCTCTATATGACAAGAATTTTGTTTTTAAAAATGAAAATATAACAAACAAAGCAAACATAACAAACATAACAAATATATTTCAATTAATTTAATTTTTTTATAACATAATCTGTATTATATAATATTAAAGAACATATTATGAAAAATTTAAAATCCAAATGGAATGAAAATTATTTAAATGCATAAAAATTTAAAAAATTAATCAAGCATGTGAAAATAAATTATAATATCAACAAAAATCATAAAATAAAATAAAGCATTAAGACAGAAAAAAAAACCTAATTTACAAAGAATACATAGTAACAAAAGATAAAGAATAAGATTGAAATATATTTGGTAAGATACTACTTTTGCATAAAAGCACAAAGAAAAGAAATTCATTTTTTAAGAAAAAAAACATAACTGAGAGAAGCTATTTACAGCAATATATGTTACAATTATATTACATTTAAATAAAAGCCATTTTCTCTATTTAATAATACTATAAAATAAATAAGAAAATAAATATAAATCTTTATATGAGATATTTTTTTAATAACTTAATAAGAAATTAATAAATAGAAAAAAAATAATTAATATAAACAAAAAGCTAATAAAATAAAAATAATTATTGTACTCACTTCAAAAAGTTGTCATTTTCTTCATTCACTTTTTCTGCATCTCGAGTTTTGTATTTAATCAAACGTTCTATTAATTGACGATTTTCTTCCTATTAAATATTAGAAAATATTAATATTTATAAATTTAAATATATATTATAATAAATATAAAATGCATAATTTATTGCATTATTAAAAGATAATAATATTATATATATATATATATATATATATTATAATAAATACTGTATAATATTGTAATAAATACCTGTGTTTTTCTAAGCTTTTCTTCTAAAGATGCAAAAGCAAGTTGCAAAGCTTGATGCTCATCTTTTAACATTTGATTAATGCTTTCCAATTCCTTCTCTTTGTTAAGGCATTTAGATATTTCTAAACGTAAATTTGTATTAAGCTCTATACTTTCTGCAAGACTGTAAATTTATTAAATATAATTTATTTCTAATAGATTAAAAAAATATTCAATTCTATAGTAATAATGTAATAAATACATACTTTGTTTCCTTAACTTGAAGTTCTTTTATCATTTCTTGTAATTTATTATTGAGATCTACTATTTGTTGTGTATGTTCTCCTTTTCTTTTATGTAATGTTGCTAATTCTTCTGCTTGCTTTAGAAGTCGAGCTTCAAGATCAGCATTTACACTTAAACCAGGAGTCCCACTTGCTGCTTCACGACGTAGAGTTTCATTTGCTATAGTTAGCTGAATATTTTCTCCACGTAATGTATTTGCACTTTCAAACAATCTATTATCTATGAATACAAAATAGTGTTAGATATATTCCTCTTCATAAAATAACTTATTTATACTTCAATTTAGATTATAAACATATTAGGATATAAGGTTAAAATATAAATAATAACAATAACTTACTGTTATATCACTTAAATTAATAGAACTAATTATATTGATAACAATAACAAATGAAATCTTACGTAAACTAATAAGATCTGCAAAACAATATGTTTGTCTCTTGTTCCTTTCTTGTAATTGAAAAATTAAATCTTTTCTCCACTTATTATCTTCTCTAGAAAGTAATGATACACCTGGTTCACTCGCGGCCATTTTCAATGCATGAAATATCGTTAATATTGTTGCAATTTAAATTATTTATCTTTTTTTATCAAAGTCGTATAAAAATCATTTGACAGAAGAACAGTTGATAGATATTTTGACAACCTTCAACATATACTATATCACCACAAAAAATATATTTTAGATCAATAAACTTTCATTCGAATATTAATCACTATTAATATCGAAAAATGTCGTACTAATCACATGACATTCAGATTTACCACGAATATTTTTAATTATGAAAATAGCTATTCTAACCTAAGTATACCAAACACTACACTGCTACCCTGAAATTGCCGGTTATTCAAAATGTCGATTTATTCTGTTTGCGAGAGTTCAATATATAAATACAAATTCAATTAAGTCGATAACAGATGATAAAATTCTTTCAAATAACCTCTCTTTGATGATTAATTACATCAGAGATAAATATCATAGATAAATTAATACAAAATTGAATTTTTTACCCATAAATTAAAATGAAATGTATTCAAATGTGAAAAAAATAAATTAGTATGCAGCAGATGATGAAACAGTTTTCTATACTATTTTGATCAACCGATAAGTACGAAATATTTATCCAAATTTGATATATGTATGTATTCTACGCGTTTTTATTAAAAATATAAGAAATTTAATTTCTAAAAAACGATTATTTTACTAAAATTATAAATATTTATTTTAAAACAAATTATAAGACTACACTTACATATGTAAATTATATTTTTCACATTAGCTATAAATAACATATATTTGAGATAATGTTATCTTTAAACACGATATAAAATTCACTTTTAAATTTTAAATAACTTTCTATTTTCGTGCATTTTTTACTTTAACGATTATTTATTTGCATATATACAATGCATATATTTTAATAGGTGATGACAATAATTAAAGATGAAATAAAGAAGTAAATATTTTTTCGTTTATATTTTCCACGTTCAAGAAATTCTTTTATAATGAAATACGAAAAGAAAAAGAAACGAAGATGTTACAAAAAGAAAATGAATAAAAATTTAGTTAATCCATTGAAAATAATTAATAGGTTTAAATTTTTTCTTGAATTACATTTTTATAACAAAAACAAATTGATTGATTTTTAAACATAGAAAATAATTGAAAAACAAAGCAAAAATATATATATATAATTGAATTTTATATTACTCAATTTTAGAAATCAAATAAATAAAAATAATCAAATAAACAAAAAACATAAAAACACTCATGTCAGTATTCGACGTCAACCGTTCCTAAAGCAATATATATTTTATGCTATACTTAATACTGACTTGCATATGAATCGAGGAGTAGCAGCGGCAAATGTAAGTAATATATATTCTTTATTTAATCAATATTTTATGTATTTTAAAAAATATATAAAACACTCTCCTGAAGTATACTTATAATAATTTTATAATATTATTTGATGAATCATATTTAAATTATATTTACTATATCATTATATTCTTAACTATTTAATTTTAGATCGCAAAATGTTTGATGTTTCTTCATAATATATTGGACTCCGATCAAGTGAAAAGCCAATATATTGATACTTGGATGAAAACTGGGTATGGCACATATTACTTAATTTTAATAATTTTTAATTTAATTATACTATAGCACTTTTTGTTTAATTCTGTATACATTTAGAAAATAAAAAATTTAGAAAATAAAAAATTTAAAAAATTAAACAAAAATTAATATAAATTAAATATAATTCATTTAATCAATTATGTGAAAACAGACAAAGAATAATAGTCCTAAAAGGATACGATCATAAACATTTGAAATACCTCGAAGATGAATTAAAATTTATAGCAATTCAAACATACGCGGTCCGTCACTTCTGGAATCGCAACCAAGCAATCATTGCGTTAGCAGTTTTTGGATTAAAAGAAGATATAGAAGAAATTTTTGAAGGAATGTCATACTTACGATAATAAAAATATATAACACTTTTAAAACTAATAAGTTTATTAAATAATTTTATTAAAAATTTATAACTCAATAAAAAAAAAGCTTAAATAAAAATAAAAAAAAAGCTTAAATAAAAATAAAAAATTTAATAAGCTATAAAATTATATATCATCATATAATATTAAGAAGTTCTAATCTAAAAAAATCTATTAATATTGAAAAGTATAACTCTTTTTCTTTAATTTTAATATTTTGATATCTCTAATTACATGCTATAAATAAAGACAAATGAAAAAATAAAAAATAACAAAACAGAAAAAATAAATACATGAAAATTAGCGCCACATAAATAATTTAAGAGATCAAACATTTATAGACAAGAAAATCAAATAAAATAAAAATACAAATTCGAATTAATCACTAACGCCATCTCTTAAACTCTACACATCATTCTACAAGCACGATAATGTAATGTAAGAATTGGAGTTTAACGCCATCTGCTGAATAATACTAAAAGAATAATCCTAATATTCAACAAATGATGATAATTCTCAATATCACTTACAAATTATCATGCTCTTAAAGAAATGTAGTTGATCCTTCAGAAACGACAGTAATTACAACGCTACCTTTTTCTCCTATTATTTAGTTTTTTTACCGATATTAGTTAAAACTACGATACTCCACAAATAACACTGAATTTAAAATTTCCTTCAAAAATTCATTTCAAAATCTTTTTAACGATTTGTTATACCTATCTACAGAAAAATTTCAACAAAAAAAAAAAGAGAAATATAAATATCTTTTATTTTTTTTTCATTAATTCTATATCAATTTAAGAAATAAAATAAAATCAAATCAAATAAATATATCTAATTAACATCAAGATTACAAAACATTCAATCATTAATGATTTTACAAACCAAGTAACAAAAGAAATTTTAAGAAAAATTTACGCTGAACTTGCAAAATAAAAATTAAATTGTACAAAGAAGTAAATAAAAGAATCAAAATTGATCAGCAACGCCATCTCTCGAATGTCAAGAACACTTCTTCAAAAGAAAGATAAAGTAGAGTAAGAATCGCACTGCAGTGCCATCTATCGAATGATTCCAAATGAATATCTAGATACTATTCTATACGCGGCAGTTATCATCAATTGCTAAGTTATTCTGTTATTAAAGAGATGTAGCGAGTTCTCCAGAGATGGCGACGTTGATCAATTCTAAC